TTGGTCCACGAGGTTGAATAATGTTGAAAGAATGATGTTAAATTTTCCTTAAAATTCTATAATTTATCTTAATAGTTTATTAGGCAATAGATTATTTGAGCTTCGAAAGCATAGGTTAAATTGTACTTACCTTTTGTCCTATTTCACGCAGTAATACTTTAATTAAACCAACGTTGATTTTTATATTAAATGCACTCCGTATACGTTTTATATGCGCGTTGTATAGTCAATATAAGTATTTACGAGAACAACTAAAATTTTAAATAATACGATTTAATAACACAAAATCCATGACTGATTTGTAAAAATTCTAAACTTTCTATATTTGAAGTATAATTTTATAATTTGTCCATATTTAATTTTTTATCTTTAATGAATAAGTATTTTTTTGAGAGAGTATATTTTATTAAGAGATCGACACTAATATTTTTAAAGCTCTGGTTTGGACAAAACAAGATACGAAATTTTTTACCATTAAATAAATATTTAAAGTTGGATTGGATTTATTATTAAGTCAAAATTGATTTAAAAAAAAAAACTAAATCTCAGAGAGTGAGAATCTTGAGTATTGTCGCGATTTTGTTTATTTTAAAATTATCGATAGAACTATTTTGACAGGGAAAAATAATTTTTTTTTAGTCAGAAGAGGATCTAGCGATCCCTAGCTTGATCTTGGAAGATGAGGTTTTCTATTCTAATTGATTAATTATAATGGAGGAACTGCACGTAGGCGTTATTAAAAAAAAAACCCAGCACAGGGGGGTCGCGGCACAGTGGTGACGTGGCATAGTTGGATCAAGTATAATGATATCTGACAGTGATTAAAATCACTATAAAAAATAAACGCTTCGATGCAAATCTTTAGATAGTGATTAATTTTAAAAAAATTGGTGTTTATTCCAAAAGCTACTTGATCTGCTGGTTTCTTATTAATATCCTGATTAAGATAAAGTATGTCGAATGAAAAAGAGTTTATTAAAAAATATTATTTCTCATAAAAAAATTGTGTGGATCCATAAACTTTTCAATAAGTTATAGCATTATAAAGTTAAATATAATATAAATAATAAAA